AGCCTCTCCTTGGCTTTGTTTCTTGTGGCGTTCACTCTGGGGCGTGGGAACCATCCATGCAAGTTCAAGCGGAGGACATCCCGCGTCTAATAACACTAAGGATCCTCTCTCCAGTACGAAATGAAATATTGTTTCATAAAGTTGTGATGGTTCCACTCCTGGTCTTCTTGAGGACACTATTAGTCAGGCTAGCCCTTAATAACAACTTAAGGGGGGGGAGCCAGTAGAGTGCGTGACATGGGAGTGGAAGGTCACCGGTTCAGTCCGCAGGCATTTCCTGCCACAAGGTGAAGAGGGATTTGAAGAGGATGGTGGTGGTGGTTGGTAAGGTTGCCAGCTCTGGGCTGGGAGATTCCTGGAGATTTGTCTCAGGCCCGAGACCCTGGAAAAGGACCCTCTCGATAATGGCATTAAGAACATAAGAGACGCCAATGTTGGATCAGGCCAAAGGCCCATCCAGTCCAACACTCTGTGGCACACAGTGGCCAAAAATACCAGGGGCCATCAGTAGGTCCAGCAGTGGGGCCAGGACACTAGAAGCCCTCCCACTGCTGCCCCCCCCCCGCACCAAGAATACAGAGCATCCCTTGCCCCAGACAGGAGAGTTCCTATCTGTACCTTGTGAGTAAGAGCCACTGATGGACCTCAGTTCCATATAAGAACATAAGAGAAGCCAGTGTTGGATCAGGCCAAAGGCCCATCCAGTCCAACACTCTGTGTCACACAGTGGCCAAAAATACCAGGTGCCATCAGGAAGTCCAGCAGTGGGGCCAGGACGCTAGAAGCCCTCCCACTGTTGCCCACCCCCCCAAGCACCAAGAATGCAGAGCATCACTTGCCCCAGACTAGGAGTTCCTATCTATACCTTGTGGCTAACAGCCACTGATGGACCTCAGTTCCATATAAGAACATAAGAGAAGCCAATTTTGTATAAGGCCAAAGGCCCATCCAGTCCAACACTCTGTGTCACACAGTGGCCAAAAATACCATTGAGGGCACCCTGGGTCAGGACCAGTCAATTTGCAGCAACCAGACACCATAAAGCTAAAAAAAAAAAAAAGCTAAAGAAGAGGAGGAGGAGGAGGAGGAGACTGGATTTCTACCCCGTCCTTCACTACCCGAAAGTCTCAGAGCGGCTTACAAACTCCTTTCCTTTCCCCTCCCCTCCCCACCACAGACACCCTGTGAGGTCGGCGGGGCTGAGAGATCTCTTTCGAGGACTGCCCTTGGGAGAACAGCTCTGAAAGAACTTGTGACTGACCCAAGGTCACACTAGCAGCTGCATGTGGAGGAGTGGGGAATCAAACCCAGTCCTCTCAGATTAGAGTCTGCAGTCCTAACCACTCCTAACCAATCCTTGAATAAAGAAAATGAAGAAAAAGGTTTAAAAAAACCCCAGCCCAATTCTAGTGAGGGTACAAAGTGTGTGGATGGAACGGAGCGGCTGCAGAGGAGAGCGACGAGGACGATCGGGGGCCTGGAGACCGAGCCCTGTGAGGAAAGGCTGAGGGACTGGGGAAGGTTCAGTCTGGAGAAGAGGAGGAGGGGGGACAGGATTGTTCTCTTGAAGTATTTGAAGGGCTGTCACTCAGAGGAGGGCAGGGAGCTGTTCCTGCTGGCAGCAGAGGACTCCCAAGAATGGGTATAAATGAAGGGCAGGAAGGTACCGGCTGGATCTTAGGGAAAACTTTTCAACAATGTGCAGCAGTGGAATCAGCCGCCTGGGGAGGTGGTGAGCTCCCCCTCCTCGGCAGTCTCTAAGCAGCGGCTGGACAAACCCTTGTCAGGGATGCTCGAGGCTGATCCCGCACTGAGCAGGGGGTTGGACTAGATGGCCTGCAGGGACCCTTCCAACTCTGGGATTCTATTTAAAAGCAACAAGGTAAGAGAGCCAGTTTGGTGTCGTGGTTAAGTGCACAGACTCTAATCTGGGAGAACCGGGTTTGATTCCCCACTCCTCCACTTGCACCTGCTGATGTGACCTTGGGTCAGTCACAAGCTCTGGCACAGCTGTCCTTGAAAAAGAGCAGTTTCTGTCAAAGAGCTCTCTCAGCCCCACCCACCTCACAGGGTGTCTGTTGTGGGGAGGGGAAGGGAAAGGAGTTTGTAAGCCGCTCTGAGACTCCAAGTGAAGGGCGGGGTATAAATCTAATCTCTTCTCTTCTCCTTCTTCTTCTTCTTCCTAGATCAGCAGTAATTCTAGGAAAACTCCGGGCCCCAAAGGGACACGGTGTCTACCCGAGTGGGTCTGGCACACTCACACTCGCTCTCCCTCCCTGCACATTAAGGGAACGCGGGAGGCAACCAATACAGGTTTTGAAAAGGAAACATGTTCCTCAGAGAGGGTTGCCAACTTCCAGCCGGGAGCTGGAGAGCGCCCAGAATCACGACCGACCTCCAGTCTACAGAGATCGCCTCCCCTGGAGAAAAGGGCTGCTTTGGAAAATGGACTCTACGGTATTATACCCCACTGAAGCCCCCCCCCTGCCCCAAACCGCCCTCCCCTGGCTCCACCCCCCCAAACCTCCAGAAATTCGCTAACCTGGAGTTGGCAACCTATTCCCCGCAGCAAATAAGAACGCCACGAGTCTCTCCCTGCACTCTCGTTCTAGTTATCTGTACTTATCACCAATGTTCCCTCTAAGCTGTGGGGTCTTGTGAGCAAAAGGTCTACTTTGTGAGCTGCTGGCACTAAAGTTGTGAGCAAACCAGGGGTCGTTTTGTAGAAAAAGAGCTAGGGGAACAGCTCCACTGCCGAGCCCCATGAGGGGCCTGGCGGTGGACCTGCAAGGCCGGCGGGAGTGCAAGGAAGCCCCACAAAGGCCCTCCCTGGCTTCAGGCAGGCAGGGGTGGGGAGAGGCAGGGAGGAAGCAACTTACCCTCCCTCTTCTCCTGCCTCCTCCTGGCTGAATGAGGGCCGGAAGCGGGGCGGCCGGAAGCAGGGGGCGGGGCTTTGCCACCTCACCCGGGGGAACTGCGATCCCCTGCGATCCCCCCCGAAATGACCTCTGGAGCAAACTATTTGACTACTGCAGAAATTAGTTTGCTCTGGAGCCCTCCTACCTGAGCAAAGGCAAGAATATGTGAGCCGGAGGCTAAAAAACTGCGAGCTAGCTCACACTCACTCAGCTTAGAGGGAACACTGCTTATCACTGACACATTTCGGAACGGATGCAAGGTACTGGTGCCAGTGTTCCTGCTAAGCTGAGTTAGCGTGAGCTGGCTTGCCGTTTTTTTAGCCTCCGGCTCGCACGTTTTTGTCTCCGCTCAGGAAGGAAGGCTCCAGAGCAAGCTGATTTAATGCAGGCGCCAAATGGCTCGCTCACAACTTCAATGCCAGTCGCTCACCAAGTCGAATTTTTGCTCGCAGGACTCCACAAGCTTTGGGGGAGCGAAGGGTGCCACAGGGGGGGGGCTTCTGGCTTCTGCTTCCCAAGCCCCCCTCCCTCTCGCTTTTATAAATTAACTGGCTAATTTTACTCTGCTCGGTGGGAGAGAGAAAAAAAGAAAAAAAGAAAAGCAATAACATATCCCATCTGTTGTTTCATAGCGCCACTGGGGTCATTAGACTAAAGCAGATATAAATAATTGTTCCCCAGTATGACATGGACTAATTTATGGGCTCCGGTTATCCTAATTCCCTCCAACACAGACACACAGACACAGACACACACACACACAAGTAGCGGGGATACACAACGTCAGCCGGGCTGCAAGACAGAAAGATCCTCCTCCAACTCCGCTTTCCACTGGAGAGTCTGAATAGCAGAAATCAGCCAGGCAGGCAATGCTGGGAGGGAAAGCGAGCAATCCTGGTGCCACCAGGTAAGAGGGGAAGGTGGGAACCAGAGGTTAGTTTCCAGAAGGAGGCAGGCTCCTCACACAGGCATGCCCTCTCGGCTACTGTCCGTAAGGGGGAAAGCAAATCACAGCAACCTGAAAGCTGAAAGCTAATGGGTTTTTTTCCCCCTTTCCTCCTCTCTGCAATGCCTGGATCTCTGTAAGAGGAGCTTTGGGAGTTTATGGGGCTCCGTGTTGAGCAGTTTGACTTGGAACAGCCGTCAGAAAGCTCGGCCAAGGTAAGGATGGAATTCCCCCCCCCCTGTTCCGCACAGGAATTCTGGTTGCTTTTGCATGTTCGGGAGCAGTGTTCCCTCTAAGCTGAGTTAGTGTGAGCTAGCTCACAGGGTTTTTTAGCCTCTGGCTCACACATTTCTGTCTCAGCTCAGGGAGGAGGGCTCCAGTGCCAACCGATTGATGCAGTCACCCAATCGCTCGCTCACAGCTTTAATGCCAGTCGCTCACAAAGTAGAATTTTGGCTCACAAGGCTCCACAGCTTAGAGGGACCATTGTTCGGGAGTGTTCATTTTGGGGGGGACCGAGGAGGACATTTGGGACGTCTGCGTGTTAACAGGCTAGCGCGTTAGGTTGGAAAAGGGCTATGTGCCACGGGGTTAACCGGGCTTGGCTTTCCATGTGGCTTTGTGTGTTCTCACTGCTCTTTCCTGACCTCTTTCCTTTCCCACAGCGATTCGGCAAGCGGCTGTTTCCCCAGGAGGGAATGAAAGCTCAGCTGGGAGGGACCGATCAAGTAACACTTTTCGGTTTTTCTGAATGATTCGGCAGGGAGCGAGATGCCGTAACCTAGTGGGACGTAACTAGAAGTCCAACACGACTGTTTGCACCCCCTCCTGAGGAAGCGAAAGGGCTGCGGAACCGCTGCGTAAGTCAAGCTCATCCGAGGAGAACATCGGCTAGAAGCTTCTGGTTGGAATCAGACCGGCTCAGTTTGGAACCAAGTTGGACAATCGTGTTTAACACAGAAGAACGGCCATTCCAAAGAGAGGCGTTAGTTATTAATGATGAAGATCCCTTTAATTTTTCTGTCCTGAATCTTGACTTCGCTCCAGCATTTCGTCGTTTGAGAGTTAAGGGATTTCAGAATCCGAGCTAAGAAGTTTAAGAAGCTGGAGAAGTCCTCTTCTGCTGTTGAACCTTCCAGACGCCTCCAGTCCTTCTGGGATGCCTTCTTCTCATCATGGCTGAACTCTTAGCTTCGTTCGACTACAATGCAGACTGAAGAACGGTTTGCAAAGCAGAGCGAACAGGCATGGCAAACTCCACCGAGACGAGAGAGGTGCCTGCCGCCGGCAACGGGACGAGCAATAGCTGTGTCCCGGACAACGCCACCCAGTTCAACTTGACGTCCCACGAGCAGTCCCCGGACTTCTACATCGTCCTCCCCGTGATCTACTCCGTGATCTGTGCCGTGGGTCTGACTGGCAACACGGCGGTCATCTACGTGATCCTCAAGGCCCCGAAGATGAAGACGGTCACCAACATGTTCATCCTGAACCTAGCCATCGCCGACGACCTGTTCACCCTGGTCCTGCCCATAAACATCGCCGAGCACCTTCTGCACTACTGGCCCTTCGGGGAGGTCCTCTGCAAGATCATCCTGTCCATCGACCACTACAACATCTTCTCCAGCATCTACTTCCTCACGGTGATGAGCATCGACCGGTTCCTGGTGGTCCTGTCGACCGTCCGGTCGAAGCGGATGCCGCACCGCACCTACCGGGCGGCTCGCATCATCAGCTGCTGCACCTGGATCCTGGTGACGCTCATCGTCTCCCCCTTCTTCGTCTTCGCCGACGTCTACAAAGACGACTTGGAGATCCAGAGCTGCGGCCTCAACTTCCCCAAGCCGGAAAGGTTCTGGTTCAAGGCCAGCCGGATCTACACGCTCATCCTGGGCTTCGCCATCCCCGTCTCCACCATCTGCATCCTGTACACCATCATGCTCTACAAACTGAGACACATGCACCTGAACTCGAACGCGAAGGCCCTCGACAAGGCCAAGAAGAAGGTGACGGTGATGGTCTTCATCGTCCTGGCGGTGTGTCTTTTCTGCTGGACGCCCTTCCACCTCGCCACCATCGTGGCGCTGACCACGGACTTGCCCCAGAGCTCCCTCGTCATCGGCATCTCCTACTTCATCACCAGCCTGAGCTACGCCAACTCTTGCTTGAATCCCTTCTTGTATGCCTTCCTCGACGACAGTTTTCAGAAGAGCTTCCGGAAGATGCTGGAATGCCAGGCTGCTTAACCTGGGGCCTCCCAGAGACTTGTGGGGCAATTCACTAGGGTTGCCAACTCCGATTTGGGAAGTGCCTGGAGATCTTGGTGGGTAGAGACGGGGGTGGGGGTAAGCTATCAGGCCACAGAATCTGCCTTCCAAAGCTCCCATGTTGTCCAGTGCAGGCCCGTAGCCAGGATTTTTGCGGCTTGCGGGGCAAATTTTTTTTTTCTCCTGGTGGGGCTGCCGTTCTCAGTGCAGAAAGGAAAGTCATTTAGCCGATAGAAAGCTGCAGGGCTTTTTTTGTAGAAAAAGCCCAGCAGGAACTCATTAGCATAACAGGCCACACCCAACAGCAGGAACTCATTAGCATAGTAGGCCACACCCTGGCAGCACAGCACATTAGCATATTAGGCCACACCCCACGTCACCAGAAGTGTTGTCATCCAGCCACACCCACCTTTTGCTTCTTATTCTGTTTACCCTGTTTGTTGTCAAAACCCAGGGCTTTTTTTGTAGCAGGACCCCTTTGCATGTTAGACCACACACCCCTAATGTAGCCAATCCTAATGAGTTCCTGCTGTTGGGTGTGGCCTATTATGCTAATGATTTCCTGCTGGGCGTGGCCAACTCAGGAGCCAGCCGGAATGCCGTTCCTGTGCGTTCCTGCCCAAAAAGAGCCCTGGAAAGCTGTGACCAGGAGAGATCTCTAAATTGCAAGCTGCCGACCTCTTTAGATGACAGTTCTCAGCTGCTGCAAGTGAATCACTTCTGCCAGCCTAAGCAACCATTCTGAGAACGAGCCGGCAGGTGGGGGTGATGACTTCTATGGTCGAAAAAGCTCACACTTAGGCAGAAAGACTCTGTTAATGGAGGCCAGTTTCTTGACACCGGGTGAGAAGGGATCCGAGAGGTCACCTACTCCAACCCCCTTGCTCAGTGCGGGAATCAGTCAGCTACAACACCCCACTCTGCTGAAAGGAGTGCACTCCTTTAAGAAATGTTTTTAAATGGTTTTAGAAAGGCATTTACAGGAGAAATTCTTGTGGGGCTGTGTCTTTGAGAAAGGGGGCAACACCCCCAAAAGCCCCACCATAGCTATAGGCCTGGTCCAGTGGAAATGATGTCAGTCATCTAGAGGTCGGTTGTACTTCGGGGAGATCTCTAGGCCCCACCTGGACGTTGGCAGCCCTAGCACTTGTTTGCTTTCAGTGACAGCTCTTGCACACTTTTCAACGTGTGTGTGTGTGTGTGTGTGAAGAATGTCACAACTTCATTTTTTTAAAAAAATGTTCCTTTTGCTTGAAGGTCATTTATACTTTGCAAGAGCCGGACTCAGGTGATTTCAGCGCTTTGTTAGAATGCCGAATGTTTGTTAGGATGCTTGCTTTCTTGGGCTGGAAAGAAAAGGGAGAAAATGTCAGCTCTTGCAACTGAAGAAATGTGCTTAATTCATGCGCTAGTCTACTGCTACCCTCTGGTGGATGATAATGAAATAGTAGACTGGTTAAATGGCCTGAAAACACTAGACCGAGGCCCACTGACACTGAGATGAGGCATGACTCTTTTGCTGTAACTGCTGCCGAATTAAACTCGAACAAACCTCTCAACTATTGAATTCTATCGAGAACAACAGGGAGGCCATGGAGGGGGCGAGAAGAGGAATGAAAGTGTATTGGTGGGGGGAAAGGCAATCAAGTCACAGCCGACTTCTGGCAAATCCATAGGGTTGTCAAGGCAAGAGGTGAACAGAGGCGGTTGGCCATTGCCTGCCTCTGCGTAGCAACCCTGGGCTCCCTTGGTGGTCTCCCATCCAAACACTGACCCGTGCCGAACCTGCTTAGCTTCTGAGATCTGAGGTGCTTGGGCTAGCCTGGGCCATCCAGGTCAGGGGTGATGAACAGAGGTGGTATGCCATAGTCTGCCTCTGCACGGCAACCCTGGACTTCCTTGGGGGTCTCCCATCCTAGTACTAACCAGGGACGACCCTGCTTAGCTTCTGAGATCTGATGAGATCAGGCTAGTCTGGGCCATCCAGGTCTGGGCAGATGAACAGAGGTGGTTAGCCACTGCCTGCCTCTGCGTAACAACCCTAGACTCCCTTGGTGGTCACCCATCCAAACACTGACCCGTGCTGAACCTGCTTAGCTTCCGAGACCTGATGAAATTGGGCTAGCCTGGGCCATCCAGGCCAGGGCAGATGAACAGAGGTGATTTGCCATTGCCTGCCTCTGCATGGCAACCCTTGACTTCCGTGGTGGTCTCCCATCCAAGTCCTAACCAGGGCTGACCCTGCTTAGCTTCCGAGATCTGATGGGATTGGGCGAGCCTGGGCCATCCAGGTCAGGGCTGATGAACAGAGGTGATTTGCCATGGCCTGCCTCTGCATGGCAACCCTTGACTTCCCTCGGTGGTTTCCCATCCAAGTACTAACCAGGGCTGACCCTGCTTAGCTTCTGAGATGTGATGAGATCAGGCTAGCCTGGGCCACCCTGATCAGGGCAGATGAACAGAGGTGGTTAGCCATTGCCTGCCTCTGCGTAGCAACCCTGGACTTCCTTGGCGGTCACCCATCCAAGCGTTAACCGGGGACGACTCTGCTTAGTTCCCGAGATCTGATGAGATCTGGCTAGCCTGGGCCATCCAGGTCTGGGCACATGAGCAGAGGTGGTTGTGCCATTGCCTGCCTCTGCGTAGCAACCCTGGACTTCCTTGGTGGTCTCCCATCCAAGTACTAACCAGGGCTGACCCTGCTTAGCTTCTGAGATCTGATAAGTTCAGGCTAGCCTGGGCCAGTCAGGAAACTGTCTTAGGGAATGTTATAAACCTCTCAGGGCTAGACTTGGTAGCAGATACCGAAAAGTAAGAAGGGATTACCGTGTGTTATACTGGTCAGCCTAGTCCTGACATGGAGATACTCCATTTAAGATCAGAGTTGACAGGCTTCCCGATAGACCAAGGGTATAATTATGTCTGGAGCACAGGGTTGCCGGTTCTGGGCTGAGAAAGGCCTGGAGATTTTGAGGGTGGAGACTGAGAAGGGTGGGGTTTGGGGAGGGGAGGGTATCATGACATAGAGTTCACCTCGCAAAGTGGTCATTCTCTCTGTGGGAACGGATCACGATCTCCCGGAGGTCAGTTGTGACCCCAGGAGGTCTCCAGCCAGTACCTGGAGGTTGGCAACCCGACCACAACAGAAAACATCCAGATGCCTTCCGGAGGTCAGAGGTGAAGTGGGGTGAGATAAGTGGCCATCCCAAATGTCCTGTAACCAACGCCTGTCAGTCTTCGGCACCCTTCCTCCGAACGTAGAGATCTCATCGGTCCGCTGTGGCCCAGTGTCGTTGCTGGTCGACAGACCATCCATGATATCCTTTTCAAAAGCCGTCTTGAGCCATTGGCTATCACCACGTCCTGTGGCGGTCTAGTGTCGTGCTGTGTGATCTTTGCTTTCCCGGGCACGAATGCTTGAGCGGCTGTACAGGGTTTCTTCAATAAAGAACCTTTGCCCCCACCTCCCGCCCCCTCTCAAAGAACACGTTGTTGCTTGGTTGATGGAAAGTCCATGCAGGCTCAGCAAGAAAGGTAAAGGTAAAGGTTCCCTTGCTCGAAAGCCAGTCGAATCCAACTCTAGGGTTGCGGTGCTCATCTCCGTTTCAAAGCCGAAGAGCCAGCGCTGTCCGAAGACGTCTCCGTGGTCATGTGGCCGGCATGACTAAACACCAAGGCGCACGGAACGCTGTGACCTTCCCACCGAAGTGGCACCTATTTATCTACTTGCAATTTCTTGCTTTCGAACTGCTAGGTTGGCAGGAGCTGGAACTAGAGACGGGAGCGCACTCCGTCATGCGGCACCCGGGTCTCGAACTGCTGAACTACCAACCTTCCACAGCCTGCAGTTCAGTGTCTTAACCACTTGAGCCACCGCAGCTCCCTTCAGCAAGAAAACTGGGCTATAAATAAAGGAAATAAATAATTGTGGGCTGCTTAAAGGGGGCCTCTAGTGATTTGATCACAGGTGGGCCACGGAGAAGAGAGTTTGGATAATCTTAGGGGTCGTTCCTGCGTTGATGGAGAAAGGACATGGCAGGGAACCAGGGTTGCCAGGGACAGCCTGGTAACTGGTGAGAGTCATGTGGGGTGCTGGTGGCCAGAAGTGTGATTTTCACTTCTGGGGGAAACGCAGAAGCGAAGTCACACCTTTCTATGATCTGCTGGAAACTCTATGGTAAAACCATAGAGCAGGGGTGCCCAGCACTGTGTCTGAGAGTGCCATGGCGCCCACAACGCTTTTCCTGAACAGAATAAAACAAATTTATGTATTTATTATTTCGATTTATATCTTGCCGTTCCTGCAAACGGGCTCAGGGTGGCTTGCAATGCTGTCTCAATTACAGCTGCCACCTTGTGTATTTTTAAAATTACCCCTCTTCTCCTCTATTCTTGGACTTCTCCCGTGTGGGCGGCTCCGCCTCCTGCAGCAGACATTTTATTACTGGGACCATCACTTTTGGCAGACGTTTTGTCCTTGCCAGGGGTCATTTCGTAGAAAAAGAGGTGCAGGAGCTCATTAGCATAACTCATTAGCATAACCTATTTGCATGTGCCACACCCCCTGACCTCACCGGAAGTGTGTCAGAAGGCAACACCCACCACTCAGGCTCCACTGGACTGTTTTGGATTGCTAGCTATTGGGGGGGGGGGGACTGTGCAGATCTGTCCTCGCAGAGGAGGGAGAGCTTGTACCTGAATAAAACTTGGTCTTAAAGGTGCCACTGGACTGTTTTGGGACGGGGGGACGGGGGGGGGGCTCTGCAACTTACTTGGCTGCTCCTTGCTCTGACTGAGGGCTGCTGGGAGCAGGGGGTGGGGCTTGTTGCATGTGCCCGCCCCCTGGGATCTTTACTGCCGGAGCTCCGCTCCTGTGCGCTCCTGCAGGAAATGACCCCTGGTCCTTGCACCCATCACCCTTTTCAGAATTCTAAATGTACCCACAGACTAAAAAAGTCTGAGGATCTCTTCCACAGACC